CTTTCTAACCCTTGGGATAGGTAAGAGACTATTCTACCCTTCAAGGTCTCAAATACTCATAATTAACCCATCCACAAAGTCAACAAAAGTCAATACGAGTAAACAGTCATAGTTGACCTGACTCGCTGAGTGCACTCATGTGACTCACCGAGTCCACTTGTATCCTTAAGGGTCTTGCTAAGGTTTCACTCAGCTCGCCGACTCCTAACTCGACGAATTATAACTGTGTGAAGAACGTTGGGACAAACCCGATTTGACTCGTCGAGTCATCTCATATACTTGGCGAGTTGATGAAATCAGATCTCTCATATAGGCACCTGAGGGCAGATCTGCAACTCCAACCTCTAGATCTAGCCTCCTAATGTCCAAAAGTCATGTAAAGGTTTTATCTTGATGACCATGCATGGCATATATTACTCTATATGCTATTACCACTCCATTAATGCTTTCAAAACACCAAACTCCTTGGTTGATCAACTATAGCTCTGAACTTTTGGACTCTATGGACCTTACAAGGTCCAGATCTGAAGTCTAGACTCAAAAAGGGGCTTGGTGCATCCATATCCCCATCAAGAACGTGTTACAAGCCCTAAATATCTAGAGCATGAGATCTAATCATCCTAAAAGAAAGGGAAAATCTTTTTACCTTTATCTAAAGCTTGAGATGAAGAAGAAATAGATCTACTGGCTCTCCCTTCTTGATCTTAGATGAACCTTCCTTCTTCTTCAAGGAAATGAGCCGAAATGAACACAAGATTAGCTATCCTTACCACTTTAGCTCACTATGGATGTTAGGGATTCTCTCAAGGGTGCAAGGGTATTGGTGAGACGAAATGGAGGCTATAAGTGTGTAACAGCTCGGAATTTCAGGTATTGCTTTAAACTATTTTGGGGATATTTAGGGGGACTCGGCGAGTTGATGCCTGACTCGCCGAGTAGGACCACGGTCTTGGTCACAGATTCGCGACTGGACTCGACGAGTCCATTAGGGACTCGGCGAGTCGACGCTTTCAGCTGAAACCCTAGCCGTTTTGATTCTGGATCGTATATAATGTCTTTAGGGCCGTCATGTCTCGTCTTTTGGCCGATTGAAGATAACCTAAACGACTGTGGGCATCTGGAGCAGTAGTGGAAGCTTGAAGAGGTTGTTAGGCAAGGAGAGGCAAGGTGGTGATCAAAGGAGGATCAAGGGGTTGAGCTCTGAAGGTTGGGGACACAGGGAACACGTTTTCCAGGTAATCCTCGGATCATTTCTGTAGTTTTGGTGTTGTACACGAATCTAGGGTTTAGGAAACCCATTTAAGGATTTGATAGATTATAGTGTTGTTACAAGTGTTTAAATCCCAGTAATAGTATGTGTAAAGGTCCAGGAAGTCCCATAATTACGGAATCATGGAATTACAGGAGGCAGTTGATTGACTGCATGGCGAGGACTCGCCGAGTCCAAAGATCAGACTCGGCGAGTAGCTTGAAGATTCACTAGGACTCGCCGAGTTGTTCTTCAGACTCGGCGAGTTGCTTGAAGACTTACTGGGACTCGTCGAGTCGTTCTTTAGACTCGGCGAGTGGAGTCGGGGTGTCTAGACTCGCCGAGTCGCCTTTGCACTCGACGAGTCCGGTCAAGTTGACCGTTGACCTGTATGTAATTAGTAGGGTCAGTTGTCTTGTTTGATAAGATCATTAATAAAGGTATGTGGTATTATAGGGAGCCTGCAGATTAGCGGATCGAGTGCGAGTAGCTCCAAGGGTTTATAGCTTGCATACTACGAGGTGAGTCTTCTCACTATACTTCACCCGGAAGGGTTTGACTGTGTGACCGGAAGGTCGTATGTGATATATGTGATTTATGCTATAACTGGAAAGGTAGATGCTATACATGTTATGTATGTTTATCCGGGCCGGAAGGCATTATGTTATGTGATAGCAGGAACAGGTATGATGTATGATATATGTGCTATGTGTGTTATGTTATATGTGTTATGCTTTGTAAATGTTATGGGCCGGAAGGCAATATACTATGGGCCGGAAGGCAATATAATACGGGCCGGAAGGCGATATGTTATGGGCCGGAAGGCAATTACTTTACGGGCCGGAAGGCAATGTTATGTGGACCGGAAGGTCAGGGCCTGGAAAGGCGTATGTGTGTAAGTTGTATATTGGGGAACTCACTAAGCATTTATGCTTACCAGTTGTGTTTATGTTTTTCAGGTACTAGTGATGACCGTGGGAAGGCGCCGGCGTGACACGTACACACTGCCATTGTTGAAGATCTTGGGGATTCGTTATTTGTATTTTTGCAATAAACTTGGAATAAATTCTTTTGTCGAATAATGATGTTTTATTTTAAATGAAAATTTATTTGAAAATTTGAGCTGTTACAATTGGTATCAGAGCCTTGGTTTGAGGGATTCGGGTGTACTTTCGGGTGCAACTGAACTCAGACCGAGGATTTGAGGAAAAATCTTTTAAAATAATAAGGACATAACATTTCATAAATGGTAAAGCGGTAAAACAAGAACGGAGCAGTGTGTACGATCAGCCAGCGCCCGAACGGTAAAGATCCCCAAAATACCTTACAATGTTATGTTATGCACTGAATTATGAATTGTTATGCATGCTAGAAGACTAGGTATACATGATAGGACTAGAAAGGCCTGTTTTGTGATGCCTTAGTCTAGGGAGATTGCTTATATGAGATATTTGGTAGCGTGCAAGTAGATAGTGCATACTAGAGGTAGAGTACTCATTATTCGGGGTTTGGGGAGGAAGATTTGGGACGAATACTGATACGGTGTGGTCGGTAGTATTGGGCCGTACTACCGAAGACACCGGGTCGGTGGAAGACCCAAGTAAGAATCCCTGGATACCGGAGACTGAGTAGGGTTGCGTTATCGAGTACAAATGTACTTGATGGAGTCTCTGATAATTTTATGTTGTATTTCAGAGACATCATGGTTACGACACGCCACGGAGCGAGTTCGAGCGGTATGAATGACGAGGAGATTCGTCAGATGATTCAGGAAGAGGTAGCTGCGGCGGTTCGGGCTGAGATCCCGGAGATGTTTGGGTCCATTAAGACCACCCTGATGGAGGAGTTTGAGGAGCGGTACGCCGCACTGACCGAAGCTGCAGTCGCTGCCGCTACCGCAGCGGTGGCCGCTGCCAGGCCGCAAGGGGGCGATTCGTTGCTCTTCCGAGAATTCAGCAACACGAAACCCCCTGAGTTCGATGGGACACAGGATCCGATTGCAGCGATGAGGTGGATCGCCGACATTGAGGGGTGCTTCTATACTTGCTCATGCCCGGAGCACCTGAGGGTACGGTTCGCTTTGAACCAGCTCCGACTGGGAGCGAAGGATTGGTGGAAGTTCGTGACGGCGAACTTCACTGTGGCGGAGATTACAGCGGTGACGTGGGAGAGGTTCACGGAGATGTTCAGGGACGAGTACGTTCCCCCGGTGGAGAGGGAGCGATTGATTCAGGAGTTCTTGACCCTTAAGCAGGGTACTGATTCCGTGGCAGTGATCACGCGGAAGTTTCATGAGAGGGCAATGTTCTGCCCTGAACTGGTATCTACGGAGCAGTCGCGGATGAGCCGGTATTTGGGCGTTTTGAAGAGGGAAATCCGGGAGTTTGTGTCAAACTCCACCTATCGTACTTTCACTGAGCTTCAGGCGAACGCCAGGAAGCGCGAGATCGAGTTGGAGACTCAGGCGAGGGAGGAGGCCGAGTCTCGGCAGGTGGATCGGCGGCCGGCTCAGCCTCAGCCGGCAGCCAAGCGGACTAAGTCCGCTGATTCGAGGATGGGAGGTCCGAAGGGCCGCACTTGCGCGAAGTGCGGCAAGAGTCACGAGGGTGTGTGTCGAGCTGGTGGTTGCTACAAGTGTGGCAAGGAGGGACACATTGCCAGGGATTGCCCTAAGGGGTTTATGGTTTGCTTTCACTGCAACCAGACAGGCCATCGGAAGGCCGAGTGTCCGCAGCTTCGTCAGGGAGCTACACCTACTACCAGGACTACTGAGACCCGACC